GCACCAAGCCACGCAAACCCAGCGCGGACCCCCGCCATCCCGCCGCCCGCCCGCCCGCTCACCCCTGCGGCAGCCTCCGGCTTCGCATGGCGTGCAGAGGCCGCCATTACGCACGCGGAATAACCGTCTCCCAACCGCCGCGCCAGCCCGCCCCGGCCCCGCCACACTCTTCTCCAGGCCCCGCACCCGTCCTTCACCAGACCCCAGCCGCTCACCTCCTCCATACCGCCCGTAACGCGACATGTTGACCAGCCCCGCGTGCTCAGCGCCGTAGCTCGCAGCACCCGGGACTCGAGTAGGCACGGAAGTCACTGCGCACCTTCCTTCGCCAACGGTCCCGGCGGCACTACGAGGAAGAGTCCCGGCCCGCGCTTATATACGCGGCGGCTGGGATTCTTTTCTTTGCGCATGCGTCATTTCAACGTTCTGCGCGGCACAAAGAAGGTGGGCGGAAACAGCCGCGAAGCGACGCGGAGGGAACTCACAGGCCGCCTCGGATGCTGGGCGGAGGGATACGTTACTATGGGAACTCCACGATCTCGTGGATAAACCTGTGGCCTTTCCCCGCGGCGTCCAGCTCCCTCCCTTTCCTTCCCCTTTTTCCCTCCCCTTTCCTTACCCCTCCAAGTCTCCCTTCCCTCCCCCCAACCGTGACCCTCTACCCGCTATTCGTCCCCCCCCCCCACTCGCAGCCCTCAGCGTACAGGTGCATTAGGGCCGTCTAGGGGAGAATGTAAAACTGACTCGCTCGCCTAGAAGCTGTCGCCGCCTTTCTGTTGAGGGACCTGGCCTAGTCTGCTCCTCAATCAGTGACCTTACCCCAAGTGTGATCAGGGTGAGAATCGTGGTCTTTGCACCTCAGGCGTCAAAGGGGGGGGAGATGATCACACACACACAGACACACACACATACACACACACACACCCGTGTACTGACCTGACCCTTTATCCCCTTCAGAACTAGTCAACTCTTTGTCACCAACAGGATTGGAGAGGATTATTAATCTGATGGACAACAGAGTTGAGGGGGGAGGGATTGGCAAAACCCTAAATCCTAAAATCCGAACAAGTGTATTGGCCAGTGGCAGTTCTGAACATATTAGTACCCGAATCACAGAGTGATGTATTTATTCCTCCTTTCAAGAGCTTTCAAGTTTGGATGGCAACGCACCTCGTGCACTAATAATACGTCCAGAACTTAAGGACTTAGTCTTTCAGTAGAGATTGGAGTTTTTACTGTAGATATCAAATAAGTGAAAACCTTTTCTTTATATTAGAATGAGTTAAAATCCCATTTTGATTTTATACGATGTATTTGCCAGGCACAGGTTCTACAAATACAGTTTCAAGTTCTTTTAATCTCACACACACACACACTAGACATTACTTAAATATTTGGTATATAAAGTTTAAAATATAAGACATAAAAGAAATTCTTAGATATGAATATTTTTATCTTCATCTGCTGTAACCCTATGTATATAGATGTTCAGTATAGAATACCGGAAAAGCAGACCTACTTGGTGAATAAAATATAGGTTGTCTCCAAGTAATATTACAAATTTTATATGTAGTTTTTAAATTTTATCAAATTATGAAAAGGATCATCTGTCTCCAGAAAATAGCAAGAAAATAGACATTCTATAGAATATATTACATTAGTTCTCTCAAAATCTCACTGATTTTTGTTTTTATCAACAGGACTGTTCTAAAAAGTATTAATAATTGTAGAGATTTTTTTTTTTTTTTGTCGGTCGTAGGGCTTGAACTCTGGGCCTGGGCACTGTCCTTCAGCTCTTCAGCTCAAGGCGAGCGCTCTACCACTTGAGCTACAGAGCCACTTCCGGTTTTCTGGTGGTTTATTGGAGATAGGAGTCTCAGGGTCTCTCCTGCCCGGGCTGGCTTTGAACTGCGATCCTCAGATCTCAGCCTCCTGAGTAGCTAGGATTACAGGCGTGAGCCACCAGCGCCCGGCTAATTGTAGAGATTTTTATAAACTTTCTGAAAAAGAGGATTAATTCTGATAAGCCTCACTAATTTGACTTTCTTCTAAGAATTTATGAAAATTTCTGTTAGATTTACCATAAATTACTTTGTACCCCATAGCTTCTAATAGATATTAATAAATATATGTATGTGTATATATATTTTTTTGGTCGGTCATAGGGCTTGAACTCTGGGCTTGGTCGCTGTCCCGGCACTCTTCAGCTCAAGGCCAGCGCTCTACTGCTTGAGCCACAGTGCCACTTCCAGTTTTCTGAGTGGTTTAATGGAGATAAGAGTCTCATGGATTTTCCTGCTCCAGCTGGCTTTGAACCTTAATCCTCAAATCTCAGCCTCTTGAGTAGCTAGAATTACAGACGACGTAGGCCACAGCCTACTGTACAGAGAACTTTTAAGTAAGCAATGGTGTAAATAAGTGTTTTTCCAACTTATAAAAAGCTATTGCCTGGCACCAGTGACTCATGCTTGTAATCCTAGCTACTCAAGAGGCTGAGATCTGCAGGTCATGGTTCAAACTCAGCGTGGGCAGGAAAATCTGTGAAAATCCAATGAACTACAAAAAAAAAAGCCAAAAATGGTTCTGTGGCTCAAAGTGGTAGCACAAAACTCGGGACAATGCCCAGAACCTGAATTCAAACCCAGGAGAAAGAAAGAAAGAAAGAAGGAAGGAAGGAAGGAGAAAGAAGGGAAGGAGGGAAGGAAGAGGAAGGGAGGGAAAGTAATTTCACTTTTCTAGCTACTCAGGAGGCTGAGATCTGAAATTGTGGCTCAAAGCCAGCCCACTCAGGAAATTCAGACTTGTAATTCTAATTAACTACCAAAAAAGCTGGAAGAGCCATTGCTCAAGTGACCATGCACTAGCCTTGAGCAAACAAAGCTCAGGGACAGTGCCCAGGTTTGAGTTCAAGCCCAAGAACCAGCACACTGCCCCACCCCAAAGAAGGCGGGGAGGGAAGAAAGAAGTATAAATGTTTTGCCCCATCTCTGTTTTTAATATGTTTAATGAGTAATGTTCATAATTCTTTTATACTCTATTAACGAATTAACTTTCATTAGCCAAATACCAGGCTACAAAGTATGAGGGGTAGAGAAAGCAATAAGTAAAGCAACTTCCTAATGAGGTTTTCTTTTTCTTTTTTTTTTGTCGATCGTGAAGCTTGAACTCTGGGCTTGGGCGCTGTCCCTCAGCTCTTCAGCTCAAGGCAAGCGCTCTACTGCTTGAGCTACAGCACCACTTCCGGTTTTCTAGTGGTTTATTGAAGATGAGAGTCTCATGGACTTTCCTGCCCGGGCTGGCTTTGAACCTCGAACCTCAGATCTCAGCCTCCTGAGTACCTAGGATTACAGGCATGAGCCACCAGCGCCCGGCCCTAATGAGGTTTTCTAAGGAATAACTGATAGTATTTTAAAGTGTGAAAGTATGAAATCTTGAAGCCCAAAACTAAATTGAGTTGTTCTTTATTTAAAAATAGAATGTGGCCAAAGAGATGGCTCAAGGCTATAATCCTAGCTACTTAGGTGGAGATCAGGGAATCAAGGTTCAAGGCCAACACAGGCAAACAAAAGTTCAGGAGGGGCTGGTAATGTGGCTTAGTGGTAGAGAGCTTGCCTAGCATGCACAAAGCCCTTGGTTTGATTCCTCACTACCACATAAACTAAAAAAGCTGGAAGTGGTGCTGTGGCTCAAGTGGTAGAGTGCTACCCTTAAGCAAAACGAATCTCAGGGACCGTGCTCAGGCCCTGAGTACAAGCCCCAGGACTGGCCAAAAAAAAAAAAAAAAAGTTCAAGAGACTCCATCCCTCAGTGTTAGACCAACTTCAGGGAAAGCACAACAGCTGGGGACAGTAGTTTATTCCTGCCGACCCCAGCAACAGAGGGAGGAAGCACAATCAAAGCCCAGGCTGGCCCTGGCATAAAACAAGACCTTACCTCAAGAATGACCAATGTAGCCAGGCACCAGTGGCTCACGCATGTAATCCTAGCTACTCAGGAGGCTGAGTGAGATCTGAGGATAACAGTTCAAAGCCAGCTGGGGCAGGAAAGTCCATGAGATTCTTATCTCCAATAAACCACTCAGAAAACCAGAAGTGGTGCTGTGGCTCAAGAGGTAGCTCTTGAGCTGAAGAGCTGAGGGACAGAACCCAGGCCCAGAGTTCAAGTCCCATGACCAAAAAAAATGACCAATGTAAAGAGGGACTGGAGGAGTGGTTCAGGTGGTAGATCACCTTCAAAACTCCTGAGTTCAATCCCCCAAAAAGAAAGAATATTGTTGAGAGTGACTTGGTCAGGCCGATATCTTAACTACAAAACTAGACTAGCCTTGACTTACAGTTTAGCAGTTTATTCATTACCATTATTGGGAGTAAGTAATTTTGTACCTAGGAATATTCCAGTCATGAAAGTAGTATGGGTGTGGCTCTGGATGTGGGTGGTACAGGGGTCTTGGTGCTCTCATTCAAGATGGGCACTCTACTACTTGAGCCACAGCTCTTTATTTCTAGATTTTCTTGTGTGTGGGGGGGTGTATATACTGCTCCTGGGACTTGAACTCAGGGCCTGGGTGCTGTCTCTGAATTCTTTTGCTCAAGCCCAGCACTCTAATACTTGAGCCACAGTTCCACTTTGGCTTTCAGTGATTAATTGGAAATAAGAGCTTCATGGACTTTACTGTCTGGACTAGCTCTGAACTTCAATCCTCAGATCTCAACCTCCTGAGTAGCTAGGCTTACAAGGGTGAGCTACTGAATGGGCTCTACTTCCAGCTTTTTTGCTGGTTAATTGGAGATAAGAGTATCACTGACTCTTCTGCCCAGGCTGATTTTGAACTACAATCCTTGAATCTCAGCCTCTTGAGTAGCTAGTGGTGATCAACTTACAGTTTTATTAAAAAAACTTAAATAACCCAACTACTGTTTTACTTGTACATATGATGGGTTGACTTTATGTTTCAATCTGGCCGGACCACAAAGTGCCTAGACATTTTGTCAAAATCAGTCTAGAAGTGTCTGTGAAAGTTTTTCTGAATGAGATTAACATTTGAGACAAGAAGATTGCCCTGCCTAATGTGGATGGTTCTCATCCAATCATGTGAATAACTCAATAGAATTGAAAGGCTGAGTAAGAAGGATTGCCCCCTGCCTGACTGAGCTAGGACACCCATCTTTTCCTGTCTTCCAAATGAAACTGAAAGAGCGGGGAATGTGGCTTAGTGGTAGTAGAGCGCTCGCCTAGCATGCATGAAGCTCTGGGTTCCATTCCTCAGTACCACATAAACAGAAAAGGCCTCTAGGGTCAGTGTGGCTCAAGTGGTAGAGAGCTAGCCTGAACAAAAGAAGCTCAGGGTCAGTGTTCAGGCCCTGAGTTCAAGCCCTACGACCAACACTCCCCTCCGCCCCCACCCCCCAAAAAAACAAAAAGAATCAAATAGAACTGAAAAATGAGCTCTTCTTAGATCACCATTTTACAACTTTGTCTCACTTGTTTCTCAGGTCTTCAGACTCTCACTGGATCAACCTACCCCACTGGCTTTCCTGAGTTTCCAGTTTACCTACTACTTCTCAGTCCTAGAACTATGTAAGGCAATTATTTACAATCTTTATAATACATGTTTACAATAAGTCAATAAATCCCTCATAGTAAATGAGGTGGATGTGTGGATGAGCAGATAGGTGTTCCCTTGGTTCTTTTTCTGTGCAGAACCCTGAGGCATTTACAGTACAATGTATTGTGTCATAAAGGATTTTCCAGGGAGCCAGCCACTTGTGGCTGTAATCCTATTCAAGAGACTGAGATCTAAGGATCAAAGTTCAAAGCCAGCCTGGGCAGGAAATTTTGAGGTACTCTTATCTCCAATTAATCAAAAATAGAGGTGTGGCTCAAGTAGTAGAGCCACACAAGATCTGGAGGCCCTGAGTTTAAGCCCAGCATCAAAGTTTAAAAAGAAAAACAAAAAAAACCTTTTTTTTTGAGTCATTAAGTATTCTATAACACTGTAATGTTTGCAGAGTATGCAAACAATTTTGTCAGTAATTTTTGTTGTAAGAAGTTTGGATTTCTGTCCATTTTTATGTTAAAGAATGCTGATTTATGGGGCTGAGAAGTTGGCTCAGTGGTAGAGCACTTGCCTTGCATGCCTGAGGCCCTGGGTTCGATTCCTCAGCACCACATAAGCAGAAAAAAAAGCCAGAAGTAGTGCTATGGCTCAAGTGGTAGCATGCTAGCCTTGAGCTGAACAGCTGAGGGACAGTGCCCAAGCCCAGAGTTCAGGCCCCATGACCAGACCCCCCCCCAAAAAAATGCTGATATAAATTTAACTTGTATACAGGTATATCCCTAATTTTTCTCTTTTTTTGTGTGCCAGTCCTGGAGCTTGAACTTGGCGTGGGCACTGTCCCTGAGCTTCTTTTACTCAAGGCAAGCATTCTACCACTTGAGCCACAGTGCCACTTCCAGATTTTCCTGAGTAGTTGGAGATGGATTTTGCCTGGGCTGGCTTTGAACTGCAATCCTCAGATCTCAGCCTCCTGAGTAGCTAGGATTACATGCATAAGCCACCAGTGTCCAGCTCTCTCAGTAGTTCTTTAGAAAAATTCCACAAATGAAATTTCTGGTTCAGTCTGAGCTGTTGGTGGCTCAATTTGTAATTCTAACTACTTCAAAAATCCAGAAGTGGAAGTGTGGCTCAAGTGGTAGAGCTTGAGTCTTGAGTGAAAAAGCCAGAGGAGAGCCTAAGGCCCTGAGTTCAAGATCTAGGACCAGCACACACACACACATATTTACTTATTTATTTATTTATTTTTGTTGGTCTTGGGGCTTTATCTCTGGACCTGGGCACTGTCCCTCAGCTCTTCAGCTCAAGGCTAGTATTCTACCTCTTTTTTGTTGTTGTTGTTGTTTTTGGTTTTTTGGGGGGGTCCAGTTGTGGGGCCTGAACTCTGGGCCTGTGCACTAACCCTCAGCTCTTCAGCTCAAGGTGTCCTCAGCTCTTCAGCTCAAGGCTAGCGCTCTACCACCTGAGCCACAGCGCCACTTCTGGCTTTTTTTTTCTTTTTGCTTATGTGGTGCTGAGGAATGAAACCCAGGGTCTCAAGCATGCAAGGCAAGTGTTCTACCACTGAGCCACCTTCCCAGCCCAAGTACTCTACCTCTTAAGCCACAGCACCACTTCCAGTTTTCTGAGTGGTTTATTAGAGATAAGAGTCTCATGGATTTTCTTGCCTGGACTGGCTTCAAATTGCAATCCTCAGATCTCAGCCTCCTGAGTAGCTAGGACTACAGGCATGAGCCACCGACGCCCAGCACATCCTTTTAATTTATACTCCTCTCTATGCCAAATTCTATATGACTGACTGCAATATTTAATTTCAGTAAGATTTCGTTTTCTGTGAAAATACATGCAAAAACATGCAAATGTTACTACAATAGCAAGGAAATTTCTCATTTCCATAATTATTCTCTTTAGACAATTCACAACTTCCTTTGTCTTAACTAGCCAGACCTTTTTCCCCCCGGAAGGCTTTCCCACTGAAAGATTTTATTTTGTCAGTTGTAGGGCTTGAACTCTGGGCTTGGGCGCTGTCCCTAAGCTCTTCAGCTCAAGGCTAGCACTCTACCACTTGAGCCACAGCGCCACTTCCAGCTTTTTTTTTTTTTAATGCATGTGGTACTAGGAACCCTGGGCTTCATGCATGCTAGGCAAGCACTCTACCACTAGTCCACATTCCCAGCCCCCTATTGAGAGATTTTTATGGGCATCACAGTATCACAGTATAGTTCTACAACAAAATACATAAAAGCATGATCTTACGATATTGATATATGTAAGAAATACAGGAGACTTCTGCTTGCAAAGGATTGGCTTTCACAGTATTTTAAGCAAGTTTTCTTTAGCACATCCCAGATAATTTGAACTTTTCAGAAAGGCAGCTAAATAAAATTATTTTTTTTCTCCTCCTTTGTCTGATACAGATGAGAATATTCTGGTGCTGAACCACATATCTAGAGATGCTGTTAGCTCCACTTTAAGAACAACACCACAGACTGAACTTTGTGTGGAAGAAGAGCCCCTGGTCAGGAGAGAGCAGCTACACATTGCAACCCCATCGCTTCACTTCAGATACTTGCCATTTCTAAGAGCAAATATGCCGCTTATTCTAGGAAAACCTGAAAATGAGCAGAAGAACAAGCTAAACATGTCACTCACTCTAATTGGAGGAGAAAATGGCCACAAGGCCAAATTAAGTAGACAACATACTGTAAACAAAAAAGAAAATGATCAGGAGGACAAGTTTGAAGATGCCTATGAAATCATCCCTGTGGCATCGTCCATGAATCTGTTATCTTCCTTGGAAGAATGTACAACTGGGTTGTACTTATTCCTTAATAACAGATTTTCAGAGGCAATAAGTCTCATTCATCCATGGTCTAAAAACAGCATATACCATGCCCTAATGTACAGTATGCTTATGATTGTCAGGGCCATCCTGACTTTTGATCCACAGGATATTGAGACTGGAATTTCTGTCTCTAAGGAAGCTTTGAAAACCTGCAATAATTTCCGCAAAAGACCTAGAATAATGACTTTATCATATCTAGTGAATAGGCATGGAATAAAGGCTGTCAACGAAGAAGAATTGCATGCAGAAGTCTGTTATGCTGAGTGCTTGATCTTGAAGTCCTCCATATCATTTATACAGGATGACAGTTTGCTTGGTTTTTTTAAAAGCAGCATCAGCATTGGGTCAAGTTATCAGATATACAAAGACTGTGAACATGTACTAACACTTATGCCAAAAAACCAAAGCAAAGCCCACAGACACCTGGATGGAGGAATAAAGTTTGGACTTGGAGCATTCAATTTGATGTTATCACTTGTGCCACCGAAGATACTAAGACTTCTCAGTATCGTTGGCTATTCTGGTAATAGAGATCTAGGCTTGGCTTTGCTGCATGAGAGTGCATCTGAACCCCATATAAATTACATCTTAAGTGTTTTCACTCTACTCTTTTATTACAACTATATCCATGTAGCTTTTGGTATTGAAAAGATCCCCAGTCCTGCTACAGAAAATCTTTTCCTAATCTACCTCCACAAATTTCCAAACTGTGTTGTATTTAAATTTTTTCATGCACGTTTTAGCATGTTAAAAGGCAATTTTGAAAATGCACAGTTAAAATTACAGGAGTGCATTTTTACTCAGAATGAATGGAAGCAGATTCATCATCTCTGTTATTGGGAAATCATGTGGTGCCACATTTTTCTGCAGAATTGGAGGCAGGCATTCCACTATGCCAATCTACTCTCTCAGAATAGCAAATGGTCCAAGGCAATATATATGTATAGCAAAGCTATATTACTGGCTTTGCTTCCTTCCGATTTTGCAAAATCAGTAAGCGAGGACATCAGCACTCTCTTTTTAACTGTGGACAGCCTGAGAGTGAAAATTTTAGGCAATTCTGTGCCCATAGAAAAGTTTGTTGCTGAGAAAGGTCAGCGCTATGGTACTACTTCAGGCTGGTTTACAGCACAGCCCCTTCTGGAATTCATTTATGCCTGGAGTGGCTTCCGAGTCATGAGCAAAAAAATGGACCTTATTGCAAGCTGGCTATCCATAATTGACAGAGGAAAAGACCTTTTGCAAGAAAATCCAAATGAGGAGTATGGGACAGATGACATCAGTTTATTAAATTTGCTTAAAGGTCTATGCCTGAAACACTTAGGCAAATATTTGAAGGCTGAACATTATTTCAACTGTGTTCTTCAGAATGAGAAATTGTTAAAATACGACCACTATTTGGTACCATATACTTACTATGAACTGGGAATTCTACACTATCTAAATGGAAATTACGCCAGTGCAACCAAAAGCCTGGACAACATCAAGAACTACAAAGACTATTCCATGGAGGCCCGATTACAGTTTAGGGCTCACATAGCCCTTGAACAAATAACAAAAGAGATGTAATTTAAATGCAAAGTACGCTTTTATTTCATAAAGCGGAATATCTACAGATAGCAAGGTAATTAGCAGACTAATTGTTTCTTCTTGGAAAAAACCAACAGGAGGCAGCTAAGAATATGATTAGTAACAAGAAAGAAATTGGCCATTTCCCCCCCTTTCCCTTCTCCTTACCCATAAAATGTAATTGGACCAGCAAATGGAGTGGTGTATGTTCTTGAAAAAGGAAAGGCAGATGATGTATGTTATAAAATTTCTCTCTCTTCTCTTTATCAAGTCAGTATGTTCAAAACTTCAAAGGGTAATTTTTAACATCTCCCTAAATAATGAATACAAGTCACATGAGAACAGCTACCCCAGTGATTTCAGTCCTTGGTAAATGTTTTTGACTGAAAGTAATTTCAAGATTTTGCTAATATTTCAAAACAATGGCACATTGAAAGGGAGATTCTGTTTTTTCTTTATGGATTTTTTATATCAGAGATGATTTTCCCCCTGTGTAATAAGGAATATTTTCTATCTTTTGTCTTAGGAAGTTCAAATGTGGGTTTATAATTTATCTGGCAAAAGAAAAGAAGCCCTTACCTTGTTACACACACACACACACACACACACACACACACACACACACACACACACTTTGAAGATAACTGGAGAGGAGGCAGAAAGAACATAGGTCACTGAGTAGGGTGGAAAGGACTAGTCTGGTGCTGGTGGCTCACACCTGTAATCCTAGCTACTTGGGAGGCTGAGATCTACGAAGCCACCCCAGCCAGAAGTGGCACTGTAGCTCAAGTGGTAGCATGCTTACCTTGAGCAAAAGAATCTCAAGCACAATGCCCAGGCTCAGATTTAAAGCCCCAGGACTGGCCAAAAAAAAAAAAAGTATTAGGCTGTTGAAGGAAGAGCTAAGTGTTATCTAGTTTCTACTAACTCTCCCTTTTATTGTCCTCTACAGTGTAATTTAAGAAATAATTAAACCATGTTCATCTACTCAATGTTGCTAAGTTAATTTGAGAGCAAATAGGAACTATAGGAACAGAGTATGGTATTATTTTACCTGTCTTAGGGTTTAAAATTAGTTTTTTTCTTCTTTCAAAGTTCACCAAAACAACTCATTTCCAGTTCTTAATTTCTTCTATATCAGTAATTCAGGGTTCTTTATAGTCACCATTTGAAACAAAAGTTGCTGGATAAAAGCCAAGTCTGGGGCATAGACCTGTAATCCCAGAATTAAGGCAACAGAGACTTTTTTTTTTTTTTTTGCCAGTCCTTGGGCTTAAACTCAGGGTCTGGGCACTGTCCCTGAGCTTATTTTTTGCTCAAGGCAAGCACTCTACCACTTGAGCCACAGTGCCACTTCTGGCTTTTTCTGTTTATGTGGTACTGAGGATTTGAACCCAAGGCTTCATCCATTCGAGGCAAGCATTCTACCACTAAGCCACATTCCCAACCCCCAGGCTGTCTTTGAACAACAATCCTCAGATGTCAGCCTCCTGAGCAGCTAGGACTACAGGTGGGAGCCACCAGCACCCTGCTTGAGAAGCTTGAGTTCAAGGCCAATCGTAAGTTACTTAGTGAGATCTTCTCTAAAGAGAAAGTGTTCCTGGCTTTTGGCTTGCTGAACACTTGAATGCTTTGGGTATCTAACCAACCTCCTGGAAAACAATGAGGTGCTAATAGTTCAGAAGCAATGATTGCTTTTTTTCTTTGACACAGGATTTGAGACAGGATGAGCCACCAGCACCCGGTTGTAATGCAATACGTGTGTGTGTGTGTGTGTGTGTTGTTGTTGTTGTTGGTCGTGGGGTATGAACTCTGGGCCTAGGCACTGTCCCTCAGCTCTTCAGCTCAAGGCTAGTGCTCTACCGCTTGAGCCACAGTGCCACTTCTGACTTTTTCTGCTTATGTGGTGCTAAGGAATTGAACCCAGACAGAGCCTGATGCATGCAAAGCAAGCACTCTACCACTGAGCCACCTTCCCAGCCTGCAATAGTTTTTTAAAAAAGTATTTTCCTCAAAACCAGGTGTGGTGGCTCATGCCTATAATACTAGCTACATAGGAGGCTGAGAACTGAGGATGATAGGCCGCTTGGGCAGGAAAGTTAGTGAAACTCTTATCTCCAATTAAAGGCCAGAAGCAGAACTGTGGCTCAAGTGGTAGAACACCAGACCAGGACACACACACACACACACACACACACACATTTTCCTCAAAAAATAGACTTTTTATTGTGCTTGCTTAATCTCCATTATTTATTTTCTGTGGTAGGGTGGTTAAGAGGAAGGTTCTGCTGATAACCTGGATTTTTATTCTCTATTAGTAATTAGGTATTACCTTGGGGCCTTTCTACTATGGATTCCTTAGCTGTGAAATGGAGATAATATTCACTCTCTGATGGTTATGTTGCTCAAAATACATCCAGTAAACATTATTATAACTATTACTAACACTGATAAATTTTTTTTTTTGCCAGTCCTGGGGCTTGAACTCAGGGCCTGGGCACTGTCTCTGAGTTTCTTTTGCTCAAAGCTAGCACTCTACCCCTTGAGCCACAGCACCACTTCTGGCTTTTTCTGTTTATTTCGTACTGAGGAATCAAACCCAGGGCTTTATGCATGCTAGGCAAGCACTCTACCACTGAGTTACATTCCCTACCAGATACATTATTCTTTAGGGCACACACTTTTTTTTTTTTTTTTGAGAAAGGGAAGATTCCTTTGTTTCCACTTTGCTAATTTAACATTTGACTAGTTAATTTTCCTTTCTGTTCTCAGTTCATCTTAGTCACTTAGAAATTTATGTCAGGCATTGATGGTTCACACCTATAATCCTAACTAATCAGGAGGCTCAGCTCTGAGGATCATGGTTCAAAGCCTGCTGGGGCAGAAAAGTTCATGAATCTTTTATGTCCAATTAAGTAGCAAAAATCCATAAGTGGGACAGGCCCTAGTGGCTCACACCTGTAATCCTAGACTCAGGAGGCTGAGATCTGAGGATGATAGAAGGCAACTTGGGCAGGAGAGTCATTATCCCCCAGAAAACAAAGTGGGCTGTTTCTCAAAGTGGTAGAGCCTCTAGCTTTGAGCAAAAGGAGCTCAGGGACAGCACCCAGGTCCAGAGATCAAGTCCCATGACCAAAAACCAACCAAACAAGCAAAAAGCCGTAAATGGAACTATGTTCAAGTGGTACAGTGCTAGCCTTAAGTGAAAAGGTTTAAGGATAGCACCCAGTCCCGAGTTGAAGCCCCAGAACCAACGCGCACATGCGCGCGCGTGCGCACGCCGTGTGCACACACACACACACACACACACAGTATCTAAATTTCAGTTTTCTTTTTATAAAATACTTTGCTTCTTCTAAATTAAGTATGTGTTCATTGCCTACTAATGGTACTAAAGATAGGGTAAAGCATGTTTTTGCTCCTGAGGTCCTTATTAGATAACTGAGTAAAGGGCTTTGAAGCAGAAACACTTGAAACGCTTGGGGGGGTGGGGCGTGGCTCACGTGGTAGAGCTCTTCCTAGCTTGCTCTGGATTCAATCTCCAGTACCACAAATCACAGGATAAACACTTTTTTTTTAATTTTTTATTTTTTTGGGTCTGGTCATGGGGCCTGAACTCTGGGCCTGGGCGCTGTCCCTCAGCTCTTCAATTCAAGGCTAGCACTCTACCACTTGAGCCACAGCGCCAC